CAAGTGAGCTGAACAAATCTTGACAAAGTTCAAACATGGTGGAGGCAAACGTCCCATTGGGCTTCTTGTCATTCACATCAAAACACGATGCTTCTCTTCCCTGATGTTCTATCCCATCGTCTTTATCCAGCTCTCCTCCACCTCCTCCGGCTCCTCCTAGTCTGCTCTGCTCTGATCTGCTCTGATCTGCTCTGCTCTGCTCTGCTCTGCTCTGCTCTGCTCTCTGCTCTGCTCTGCTCTGCTCATATATTCTCCGCTCCATTTCTCTCCCTCCTGTTACTAATTATCCCGCCATTTCTGAGGAGCTTCCGAAATTATCCTAGCTTGTGTACCCGGCGTTGCCAGTTTCCATTACTGCCAGATTATGATCGAATTTCAGTTTTAATCTACGTTGCCGTAACCATCACAATCAATGTTGTCAACATCACCATCACATCACATCATATCATATCACATCATATCATCACAAGCAGGCAGGCATGTCTGACTGGATGATCAGGCATGATCACGGTATCACAACGGAAAGATTGAAGTTTGCCATCAGCTTCGAAGACCTGTACACGACTGGGTTGTTCCGCAACAAGCGAGCGGTAGGCAAGTTTCATGTACGGCCTCGACCCTGCCGTCAGCGCGGCTTCCAGTAGCGCGACCTCGGCGAGAACGCGAAACTAGCGTACAAGATCAACAAGAGCTTGCGCATGGCTCTGGTGAGAGAAGCTGACTTCATGAAGAAAATCAATGACGACGACGACGACGATCGGAGTATGATGACGACGAAGGTGCCGGTATGAAGGTTGTTGTATGACGGTACCTTGCAAATCTCCTGATCATCAATGTAGCAGCTCTCGTCTTGTACATTTACTATGCTAGTCTCATCGCCTCAAGTTTTCCTGCTGCTAGTCATTTCAGGTTTTAAGCGGCTCAATAAAGAGACTCGGAACCCACTGAGTCGATACTCGAATGCCCCGGCCTTCCGCTCGCTGAGCAAGGAGCTGCTAAGGCCCTGAGACGAAACATTCCCAAGTTCATCAGGAAGTTCATCATGACGGGCTCCTCACACGAGTCAGCCACTGCAGGTACGCAAGACGTGTGATCCCTGTCGCCCGGGACGCGGGTGTTGAGTGGCCAATTCCATGCAAGGAGGGACAAACTCGATGAATTCCAAGCAAGGAGGGAGAAACTCGCATGCAAGGGCAGGGTGACCAGGTGCTTGCTCTCAGATGAAACCGATAAACAATCAAGAAAACACAGGCCAGATTAGGACATGTTCCTGATCGCAACATGATCTGGTTGTTGTGAGCACTGTCCTATAGCTATCTACCAGCGAACTGCAGTGCAAGCCCCCTGTTTCTCTCCTCAACGTTGTGAGCTAAGGATCATCCCTACTCGTCCGATCCCTCCCTCCTCTCCTCTTCCAC